CTATTTTAGCTGCACCCTGGAACTCTCATGTTATGCCAAGCTCCCTTTGATCATTTTGGGCTGCCTGGTGGTCGATTATCTAAAGTTTTGTCAGGGCAAAATGAGTGAAAGTTCTACTATAATATGACTGCTAAAAGCCTGACACTGCAAGAACAGCTTTAGATTGAAGGTGGGATTCCTGATCTGTTCAGGGACTGGATTAAATGGTTCTGCCTCTGCAAATAAAAATAAATATAGTCTATCCTTACCACAGCTGAATTGAGAAGAGGTTCCTGCATAATAACTTTTCACACTTGCTCTCTCTCTCTCACACACACACCATGACAATCTAGAGCACTTTTATTATTTGATTAAGGACAACAAATTGCAAATAGAAATTACTCACTCCCTGGAGATGGGGTGGGTAACCTGCAGCCCTCAGCCTGATACCTCATGTTTGTCTGCAGGGACTCAGTCAGGCCTCTGGCAAGAGCCACACATCCCTCTCTTGGCAGCCTAGTGAGCAAGGGGAGAGAGAGAGAAGGAAGGCCGGGTTGCCCAAGTCACTGCAGGTGCCCAGCCCCTATTGATCTCCTTCAGGGGAATTCAGACCACCCCACAGAGGCCTTAGAAGCCCTGATGCATGGTGTGTGTGTGCACCCTATATGATTTTCCCTTCAGGCTCAGGCTTTGTGTCACCTTGCTAGAAGCCACACATTGCCGTGGTTCTCTGTCTCCATTGTCTCCAAGATCCAGCTCCCTGATGTCTTCCATGGCTGTTCCAGTCTACATTTGGTGCTTTAAAATAACCAGCAACTTCTCTGTGTGTATTTAATTTTCTGTAATATGCTAAGCCACCTTGAGAGGGCAGTGCTCCCTCAATGGTGGGTGAAAAAACACCAAAAACGGAAGAAACCTGCAAGGTGGAGGTTATGCTGTTGCCAGCACGGGGTCCCTCAGCTCTGCTTTCAGGTGCTGGGAAAATTCAGCTAAACCCTGGCAGAGAAGAGTTGCTTATGTGTCTTTGTGTTATAAAATGCCCACACCCCTTTCTCATGGAAGCACCCAGAATTCCAAGCCAGGTTACCATTTGGCATTTGCTGTTACTTTAAGAAGTGAGACTTAATGGCTTCCCCAGGAAGCTGCCAGGGCTATTGTTCTGCAGATCAGGAAGAACTGGCCAGGCTGCCAGGTTAACGGCATTGCAATCACCCTCTGGATCAGTCCAGGCCATTTTGCTATCTGAGATGCTGGACAGGATGGGTTGTGAATGTTCAGGAGCTGATTGGACTGGCAGGTGACAGGGCACCAACCTGTATTGCCTCCAACAGTGGCAGGCTAGCTCAGGGGGCAGACACAACTCTCCTTGCCTCTGTCACTGCTGCCACCTTTCTGCCCTTCCCTGCTGCTGGGCACCCATTTGGTGAGGCTGGCCCTGATCATGTGTTGCCTTTTGATCACCTGGCCTACACAGAAGTGCAGGTCTATTGTCCAAGGTTCCTATCTGACCTCAGCTCGTTGAAGTGGTTGTTTGAAAGGGCTGCCAATCCTCTCTTCATGTTGATATTCCAGAACGTTGGCTCTGTCTCGTTCAGAATCACCACTGCACAATCGCGGACTGGGTGCTTGTTACGTTTAGGCTATCTGTTGCTGAGTTGACATATCCAATTGCAAATGTGTGCACATTAACAGCCCTGTATGAGAGCCAAACAGATGGATGCCATTAGACAGCTCTGTGTCACACAGATGGTGCACACGAATTTGTGTGGGATGAAGTAAGCGAGCGAGCAAACGAGCGAGCGAGCGAGCGAGCAAGCACCTGTGCAAAGGAATGGGCCCCCAGGAGGGAAGGAAACATATACCTTCAAGGCACAGAAGAAAATGCAGACCCATTTGAGAGAGAGAGAGAGAGAGACTCTAGTCCAAAAAATTGTTTCATGTGACAATATTATACCATAATTCCTAAAATGGCCATTTGAAAGGAAATTAGATGGACTTAATTTTAGCTCACCCTACAGCTGAATTCTATCCCCACTTCAGCTCTTCATCCATAACTATACATTTTCCTGAACCATCAACAGAGAAGGTTGGTGACTCCTACACAACTGGGGCTCCTTATCCATTTATTCTGAGTTTTATAGATCTATCCATGGTGCCCCATGCTGGTGAACCTGTTTTGGAGGATGGGAGTCAGCACCACAGATAGTTCCTATAATGCTCAGAACAGAAACTGCCATGGACTAACATAGGTTTCACCATCTTCTCCTGACTATAAGTAGTAACCCAGGTTAGGCAAAGAGCATACCCTGAGCTTGGCAGCCAGTACCACTTCCCTAGGATCCCTGCTGACTTCTTGTGATACACCCAAGGAGGAATAGCTAATTTTCTTATAATACATTCTTGTCCAACAAAAGCTGCATGTTCTGTGTTAACCAGGTTCCATTGATTCCTGTGTCATTATCTATGTTGTTGTTCTGTTTAAAACAGAAGGGGAATCTCTGATGATGCACTTCTGTGTTTGGCAGTCCCCTACTGTGAGGAAGTAAGAATGCTAGTAAAGTGGAGACTCCTTGGAATGGGAGCACGGAATGGCTTGAAGATTAAGAATGGGAAGCAAGTAGGAGACCATGTTCAGTACGCATGTTGCTGCTTTAGCTGGTGGGCATCTAAAAAAAATCATTTGAGGTGGGAAATCTCTGATTGCACCAGATGAAAAGTCAGCATTTGTAAGTGCTAATAGCTAGAGCTAGACTTCTTTAAAATATGAGGAAGAGAAAGAGGAGACAAGGAGAACAGTGAAGATGCAACTGAGCATGGTGTCAATCCTAGGAGCATATCAAACAATCAGTGAAACACGTTATGCCTCAGCCTTTCCCAACATAGAAACAGAGTGAGCCAGAAGGGGTCTCCCAGGCCATCTAGTCTGACCCCCGGCTCCAGCCGGCTCTGCTCATGACATGCCCACCATGTGCATGTCCAACTAGGCTGGGAATTCTGGGAATTGCAGTCCAACACATTGGGAAGATTCCAGGTTGGGAAAGTCTGTTTTATATGATTGCTGTTGGATCACAGGGTCACAAGAAAGACTCTGATGTAGGGCTACCCTTAGGAATAGGCAAGCTTGCCCAGGGCACCAAGCTAACTAGGTATCTTGTGCTTGCTCACTACAAAAGTGGGTATTTACTGTAAAAATGAACTTCCATCAATTATTTTTAAAGCATGATCCTTTTTTGATTTTCAGTTTAATATAATTTGTTCTACGGGGAAAAAACAGCAGAAGAAACATTACCAAGTGCCAAAAGAACTAGAAATACTATAAAGGACCATAGATGATAATTAAAAAAATTGTCGGCTATGCAAGGGAATTAACACCAACAATGCTGCTCCTTCTCTCAAGGTGCTCTTTCTCCCATGGCTAGCCCTGCTGTGGCAGAATGAACAATGAAACCTAGAACTAGTATACTGTACTTGTTCATCATTAGGTGCTTTTAATCAAAGCATTTATTTTGCTCTCGTAATTTCTTACATTTGTCTATGGGTACTTTAGAAGACACTGTGATCTTCTAGTTTTGCTTCTGATTTTTAGAAGCACTTCCCTGTTTTTATTTTCTAGAATGGGGCAAATGGATAATTACTTCTGATGGTGAAAGAAAAAGCATAAGACTAGTTATTGTTATTCTGCTATAGTACACTGCTTCCAAGAGGTTATATAGCGGAAAAGCAGTTACAGAAACACTGTGTAGAGCCCAGATCCCAATTCTCAAAACCAGAAGTGGATGTAGTGATTAACAGCCTCATGTGTAGCCTTTGTGAAATAACTCCTGCTCTCGTGCCAAGACACCAACGGCCTCATGCTGGTTCTTTTGAGGTTACACTAAGCCCTTAACAGGGAGGATGGTTTCTGAGCAAGGTTTGTTTGATTGTTGGACAGTACAAGTCTCCCTGTTCCTAATAAGGTGTGCAAATCATACAAACATTCATTCACACAGCCGCACACCATGTGTAGCAATGTTCCAGGATCCTTGTGCTGTGCTGGTGGTTCAGCACTAGTCTTTCCCACAATTTGGTGGGAAGGACCCCCTGTGGAAGCAATGCTCCCGATTTTTTCAACCCACTTTTGACTTGTTTTATGTGTGGCCCACAACAGTGGTTCCCTGAAGGGTGGAAGGCAAGACACAACAGTAGCAGAGAGGATTTATATGCAAAAAGAAATATCAACAATGGCGTTAAATCAGAGATTTGCTAGAGAAAAAAAAATGATCAAGCCAAGCATCATGTGTGCAGCTGCTGCAGCTGCTGCTTCATCATCTTCTTCGTCATCTTCTTCATTGTCTTCTTCTTCTTCGTCATCTTCTTCTTCATCTTCTTCTGCCCCCCCCCTTGACAGTTCCCTTTTGAATAGCAGTTTGCTTCTGTTTGATTGTTGTGCTCCCTTTAAAAACCTTTTAACCACAGGGAAATCCAGAGGGGGAATATAATACAGGACAAATGTTCAAACACAACGTACTGGTTAGTTTATTGCAACAGTTTGTTTCATCTTTTGTCTCACCACTGCTGGTCTTCTTGCTCAGGTCAGGGGGAAGGAAAATGCCTCTTATTCTCCCCTGTGACCTCTGAACAGGACACTAGTGGAGTTCTCCTCTAGCGTTCCTGTTGCTGCTGCCCGTTCTGGTGTGAGAGTGATATGAGGAAGAGGCAAATAGAAACAACAGTCGTGCATCAAATCATGGGTCAACATGCGTGCCGTTTCGCCATGCCTGCTGGCCAAGTTCTAGCAAGGATGCAGAAACAAGAGGGCCGCACCAAATGAGACGTTCTGTTGGGAGCCAGGGGTGGTCCAGCCATAGTGGGGTCCGCTCTTCCTGCCTTCCTCCCTTTCCCTTTTCTTGCTCCCTCACAGAATCTGGCAGTGGTGCACATGGAGAGGAAGGTGGCTGTCTTCCAGCGTAGCAAGGCAGCAGTCCCCACCTCATAGGCTGCTTGTCTCAGGAGAGGATACGAGAGGGAGAGGAAGGTTCACTCTAGACGGTGACCTCTGTCTTGCTGTTGGTGGAAAAGGGCCTTTGCTGCTGGGCATAGTGAGTAGGTGTTTGGCTGAAAACCTCAGGCAGTTTCTCAATACTGAACTGGCGCTTGGTGGTGTAGGCCTGTCGTCGTGGATCAGGGTGACTGGGGTCCCAGCCCCCTTTGAAGGCAGGGCTGCCTGCCAGTGTGTGGGTGTTGGTTTTCATCACCTTGGCCTTCTGTCCTGGCGTGGCCAACCCGATCAGGGCACACCCATCCTGGAAAGGTGGAATATCTTTCTGATGAAGCGTCAAGGGAGGGAAGGACAGAGGGCCCGGTGGTGGCATGTCCACCCCAGGAAACCTCTTGTAGTATTCCTCAGGAGCACTTTCTAGAGGGGAATAGATGGAACAGGGAAGAACATGAAAGAAAGACATTCTGATATCATCTGAGCTCAGCCTTCACCAACCCCTTGTGGTGGCCAACGGACATGCTGGCTGAGAATGATGCAGGCTGCAGTCCAGCACCTCTGGATGGGACCGGGGTGGGGAAGGTTGTCCTAGCTTGTGGCACCTTTCCTGACCCTTTGTTGTTCCTTTGCCAGTTTACCATCTTGGCTGTATCACAAGAAGGTTACTAGGTCACTAGACTCACATATACATAAACCATGAACAGTGGAACACTAATATGGCCTTACTAGTCCTGTTCCTGTACTCTTCAAAAATCCAATCTGGTAAGCAGGGCTATGCTGCATCATGAAGTCTCCGCTGCCCCGTGATGTCAAGTACATGACATATATGCCCCAGATATGCTCATGGATGCGGAGCAGATGTTTCTGCAAGAGAAGCCTACACCCGTGGAGCTACACACGTGGAGCCCTCCATGTGATCTGGGGTTCTGGACTGTGTGGAGACCTAGGAGCGAACAGCTCTAGGTACAGAGGCCACGCTCCTTGGGATGTTCACCGCATCCTTGCGGCGGTCAGGGCGGGTGACGCAGCACAGCCCCGTTCCTCACTCACGCAATTGGATGAGATTGCATCGAATGCCCAAAGAGGCTGAGGCCTGCCATAAGAATTAAACACATACAACCAACAGATGTGAACACCATGTACAATTTAAATATACAATGCACAGAGTTTGATCCATAACTGTATTAAACACAAATCATGCAAATAGTTCGATGTTGACAAAAAAGCTGCTGTTTCTTCGAACAAACATAATCTCTGCTCCTACGTACATCTCTGTATTTTGAATGTATGCACAGGCCCTGAATTTATATTGTGAATCTTATTGGTTTGAGTAATGATAGGCCCCCTGCTCTTACCTGGACACATGTCCATTTGCTGCTGCCTGCGCGGCCGGTGGCACCTCTGGCTGTGGGTTAACCATCCACAGCTGAATGTTTGCCAAGCAGTGCCGCAAAGCGAAGGAAAACCCAGTCCTATCAGTGTGCCATTGGGTGATTAATATGTGTTAAAGGGCATCTAGTCCGCAGCAAATTATTTTTGTGAGCAGCTCTTAGTCATCTGCTCTGCATTCAACACCCCCACTGCGCAGTAGCTTTGCCCCCTACTCAAGCCTTTTTCTTCCCTCCTAAACTGCTACATTTTTAGCCCTGGCTGGTGCTTTTCTGTCCCTGTAATCACAGCTCTCCCCTTCCTTCCCACCTCACCCAGTCCCCTCTGGCATTAGTGCCACCCAGCAGGACGGCGTGCTAGCACCAGGGGGCGAGGGCACCCCATGTATTGCAGCAGCAGTGGGTGGGAGGGCGGGGAGATGAGTCTCGGCAGCGTGTCCCACACAGTAGCACCTACCGACTGCCTTGAGGGTTGCGTACTTGGCATAGTCTGATGCCTGGTGCGGCAGAGTGCTTGTCATTGGTAGCCGGTTGATGTGTGCATGCGACAGCCCGATCTGCGGGACAGCGGACTGGTTGACCACGGCATTGTTCAGGTGGTTCTTGTCTGGAAGCATAAAGAAGTGGCATGAGAAAACGTAATGCAAACAAGCTGGACTTCTGGGCTCTCCAGAGAGAGGGCTCCTTTCTGCTTCAACCTGTTTTTAAAATGCGTATGTCTCATATAGATAACCGATTTAAAAAATCTGTGACAGCGAAATCATTTTCACCTGGAACGGCACTCATGTACCCAGATCCAAAACCATTTGGTAGCTTTTGTCGATTGAGCTGGAAACTCTCCCTCCTCTTCCAAGTGGACCCACATTTTGAAAGCGTTTTCTTGGTTTTGGTACAAAGTAGCCCTCTCAAAAGCTGACAGGCATGTTGTAGTTGCATCCTGCACGGAGCAGGAGGCCAGACTGGGGTACAGCCAAGACCCTTTCTGGCTCTATAATTCTATGACTCTTTGTAAGTCCTGTCTGGGCTGCACCACTCTCTGGGCAACTGAGCTACACATTGTCAAAAAGAGGAAATAGATCACACAAAATACATCACACAGGAAGAAGAGGACAAAAGACAGTGGATGTGCAAAAAACAAATGAATTGCATGTGCTAATTTATATGCACAGGTGCCAATTTAAAAACAGTTGCTAGGATTTAAATAGAAACACAGTACATCTCACCATAGTGGGGATGACCAGATATGATCTGTGTCCTTTTTCAGCCTGTTGTTCCTGTGCTAACTGGCGATGGGCAACATCAAGGCCGCTACATTGTGAATAACAGGCCCTGGGAGCAGGGATTCTGAGTGGGACTGGGGAGGCGAAGGGTTAAACACCCCCTCCCCACGTCACAGGGTGGATTCCACTAAGCCTTTCACTCCTGTGCCCCATGCCAGCTTTTTGCTAAAAAGAAAGTATCTGCATGAGGCCAGTCCACGAGACAAATGTCTCATCTAATTTGTCCTTATGATGCCAGGTTTTAGCATAAAGTAAGAAGCCCCCTTCTGGAAAATGTTACGCACTTCAGACGTTTTCCTTTCACAGAACATCCCGGGACTCATTAAAATGCAGGGCAGCAAACAGGCTTTTGAATGCAGGCAATGCCGGATATTGTCTGGGCTTGCTTGCTGGGATCCCTGGTAGCCCCACTTCCCACCTCCCCACCTGCTGCCGACTAATCCCTTGACAACTGGACCTTCAGGGCAGGGTTTATGTCTTTCCGAGCAGGAGGGGAAGGTACCCAGCCCTAATTGGGGATCAGGAGCACCACACTCGGAGAAGTAAATCATAATTAGACTGGTGGTGGCTCGTGTGCTTAAGGCTCAGGGTTTCTCTTCCGAGCCCTCCAGCGAGTGATGCTCCCCAGCTCTTCCTTCAGTTAAACAATGTTCAAAGGTGATGGGGAGGGGCAGCGAGGAGAGAGGAAATCTGTATTTAAACTGGGACAAGTATCATGGGCAAACGCGAGAGGAGGAGACAGTGCAGTCTCTCTGTGTAACTGAGGCATAACTGAGTCGCAGTACAAAGGAAGCAGGAGGGATTCCAGCAAGTCTCCCCTCCTCCATAGAGCAGAAATTGGAGCAGAGATGGCCCCTTGCCTGCCACTCCCCCCACGCCAACCTGCACTTGCCAGCCAGGCAGAGAATCTGTGCATCCAATGCTTGGGTGAAGTGTGGCTGTGCGCACGGCTGCGGACGTCCTGTCCTCCGAGTCACAGAGCCACCCTGCGTGTTTCACCCTGGTGAGCAGCGCGCCGCACACAAAGCGCTGGGACTGACTGCCAGCTTCACGACTGGCTCCATCCCTTTGCAATGAGCTCCCGCAGCAGCCCCTGCTCAAGAGCAGCGCAAATGGAAATGTTCCGGCACAAGGAGCACTGTCACCCTTTGTTGTCATACAAAATGCTCAGTGATTTCCCCTGCATGGCAAAACCAGAACTGCAAATCATGGGTTGATTGGACTGATGCCAATTGCAGCTATTTCTCTTAGTATTAGCTAATGCACCAGTATTGGCAATATCAGTGCCCAGAGCTTATTCTTTATGCGGGAATATTTATTCTCAATTGATTAAGCTGATTAATGAGACTTTACAGGATATAGATAGATGGATAGAGGGCAGGGATTGATCTTGGGACTACCTGCATGCCGGGGACACCATTCTACCACTGAGCCATGGCACCGCCTGTGCACAGAGGTCCCACGTTTACGCCCTGTTATCTCCAGCTTTACATATCGGATGGGGTCTTCTCACCCCTCCTTTTGGCAAAGCAATAGCAGGTAGCCTTGCAAGAGGATGCCCTGGGATCCAGGAAGTGCTGTATGCTGTGCCCATCTAGCCTTGTAGTGCTGACACAGAAAGGCAGCAGCTCTCCGGAGCTTTAGACAGGAGTTCTTCCAGCCCTACCTGGAGAAGCTAGAAAGTGAGCTTGAGACTTCTTTTTGCAAGGCAAGAACCTGCCGCTGAGCCACGCTCCCTCCACCTTCTGTTTGTCTGTTGGAGCAAAAAGCAACCAGAAGTCTTGTTGTGATTCTTTTTAAGACTAGCAAACTTGTGGTGGTGTAAGAGGACTCCAGATGCCAAGGGTTCACTTGGCATAATCACTTGGCTGGTCTTTGCCATGCCCAGGCCCTATTGATTTCACTGGCATTATTGTAGGGTTGCTGTTGACCTGATGAATTGATTGTTTTCATTTTTCTCTTAGCTGCCTTGAGCTTCCTCTGGGGAAGAAAAATAGGCTATAAATATGGAATGAAATGGAAAATTAAGCAAAGGGGAAGGGGAAAAGTTATTTTCTTGCTTTATTGGTGCCAAATCTTACTTAGAAGGTTTCCTAGTGCCAGCTTGGCACTGTGGCAGCTGAAAATACAGGCTGTGTTGTATAGGGTTCCTCCACCCTACACTGTCCGTATGTTACCAGGCTTTAGGATGGCTTATTTGCCAAGCCTGCATTAAGTGGCTGAAAGTTCTCTTGTGCTTCCTTATACATTGAAAATGGTGTCTCCTGTGATTGCTGCAAGTACCCAATCTTGGAGCGGTGCCCATGGGCTGGGTGCCACAAAGCACTCCACAGGTGCAGCATTTTACTCCTGCCGCACTGAAATGCGTGGGGCCTCCACTGCCAAGCCTTCTCCTGGTGCATCAGGAGAAGATCAGGAGGTGGCACCATAGCGCTTCATCTCACTCCAAGAACTACAGCCTGCCTTGAGTGGCCTGCCCAGGGCTTGTGATTCACTGGGAAGAAGAGGGGAAGGGATCAGCAGGCTGAATCACCCAGACGATCTTGTGCGAACTGTCACTGACACTCTAAGAAACTGTATTCTGTTTGTAGCATGGAAGAAAGTCAAGTGATGTGGAAGCAAGTGGGGGCAGGCAGGGCCTTACCTGTGCTGTTCCTGGGAGATCCTCGAGAAAGGCCGTCACTGATCTGGACCTGCACACTGCCAATGTGGCCGTCGGGCAAGAGGTCGGAAGAGCCACATCCTGGCTGCTTCAGGAGATCTGTGAGTGTTCTGAAACAGGCAGGAAGGGAGTTCAACAGCACCGTTAAGAGTGAGGATCCTCAGCCTGTGCTGCCTCAGGTATCATTTCAACATGTCTGGCATGTGCTTTGGCTCACACATTGCTTGCCATGTGTGCTTGCTTGACCTTCCAGATATCTAGATTACAGTGCGGCATATGTGCACTTGCTCTCATTTGTTGCTCAGGCATCTTTGTCCAAGGAAGCACTTCAGTTTCAGAGCTGCTACGTTTTCTCAGCCCTGCAAACCACAGCGCTTTTAGAGGTTGACACATAGGCTGAGTAACAATGGACCAGAAATGTTGGAATAGCAAACTTCCTGCACTGGGAGAGGAGGAAATAGATTAGAAGGCCTTTGAGGAACCTTCCTCATGTATAATTCTATGTTTTCTTGCTGGAAAACATTAGTCTTTCCTCAGCTACCACTGGGAACAGGGTAACACAATTTTGGATAGTGGTAGAAACATTGAAGTATCATGACCCAACGAGTGTGTTCACACTTCATGACAACCTACCTGGGCAATGAGCAATGGTGGGCTGATTGTTTTGCAAACAGCCCATGGTGCACTTGAGAGATGGTTGAGGTCACTGTGGGCTGTTTCTACTCACAGTCCAGCAAAAGTCTCCACAGCAGTACTGACACATCTCCCCACAACAATCATGAGCCAATTTTGGCTTGGTGCATCTTTTGTCCCTTTAAGTTTTTATTTTTTCAGCCCAAGACTGCAAAATCCAGCTTGACAGCCAGCTTTTCTGATCCCCAGTCTGACAGCCACTGGCAGCCCTTTCAAAGTGCCCAAGCAGCATTCGGAGGGGGTACCAGTTAACAGCAAACATCTTTGTAAAGTTGTTGTTAGCTACAGTTGTAGAAGTGCAAGAATGGTCACCCTTAGCTGGGTAAAGCTGGGGGCGTATCTGCTGTCCGACTACAGTAGGCACTAATCCTGTACATAGACCCAAGCGATCCTCTGGCTTTGTGGCTCCCAGAGAAGGATTTCCTGAGCATCGGCACAAATCAAATGGACCACAAGGATCAGATTCCCACAGGAACACTCTTTCACCCACTAAGTGCAGAGAAAATATCATGCTGCTGCTTTTGAATGAAGATTTTCAGGACTATCTGGCAAAATACTAAATGTGAGAACACTTTCATTGTCTGAAAAGATTCTTGTCTGCTCCTTCCAGAATTCTTATTTTATTTAAAAATATATTAAACATGCAAAATAAAGTGTGGGTAAGCATTTTAAAGTGGCTGTCACATTTAAAAGTTATGAAAAGAACAATATATACTTTAAAATAATATGGAACAGTGTCAGCAAAAGCAACAATAAGCCATATTAACAGTGTGCGCTTTTATATCTCTTGGGCTGTGCTGCCATGGACATGTGCACATGATTTTTATTTTTATTTTCCTCCTCAGACTTCTCTCTTTTTGCAATTATTTACTAAACAATGGAGATACTGGTGTTTACTGGTATTTAGCAAATGAAGGACAAACCCCTTTGAATTATTAGGGCTTCAGACCCCTCTAACCCTTTTGTGGACACAATCTCACCCTCTGCATCAAAAGGCTGAAGAGCAGGAGCAGCCATGCCAGGAGTCCAAATTTATTTAGCACTATCTACTGTGACTGACAGTGACTCTCATCTGACACTGCTCCTTGAAGTGGACATACCAAGGACTGGACTTGGACATTAAAAATGCAAAGGATACAATCTTTCTTAAAAAGGAAAAAAAGCGAGCTGAGAAATGGCCTCCCAAGAAAATGACAGCAGATTGCATAAGAATGTTAAAATACAGGTAAGGTAAATCCACAAAGAATATATCATGAAGGATACTTCTGCATTGGATAGGAGATGGAAATAGCTTAAAGACAACCTTTCTTGGTTTTTCCTACCATTTCTTGCAAGCCTTTTTATAAGTTCAGCATGGAATGTTAAGTAGCTTCATGTTGAGAGCTTCTATAATTTGTTCCACATTTGCATCTGAAACACTAGGAACATTTCCCTGATTCCCAAGAGCTCCTGGGCCAATGCACATCCACTAATGATAGTGCTATTCCAGGGCCTGCTTTTCCACAAATAGAATCCATCTTCATGCAGGTTAACACAGAAACCAGCTGGACGGCATTAGCTCCCTAGTGTGTGATTCCTGAGTGAAGAGGACAATTGCACTGGCTTTAACACATGATGATTTCTCACCTGAATGGTCCTGCACCCCAGGAAACTCAGACTGTGATCTGCTTTCCTGAATAATGCGGCTAATGAGAGGTATGACTTGTAATAATAATGTGACCTTGCTAAACCCAAGTCGCATATGAGAGTTGATGGGTCAAGGATGGAGCATCGATACCACTGGAAGCCACTGTCATCTAGAGGAAAGAGTGTTGGACTGGGACTGGAGAGAGCCAGGTTTGAGTCTCACCTTGTCCAGAAGCTTGCTTGGGTAACTTCAGGCTGATCACTCTCCCTAGCCTAACTTATTTCATAGGGTTTTAATGAAAATAAAATGAAGAAAAGGGGGATTATATGAATTACCTTGGGGTCCTTGAACAACTTGTTATTCATGAGCTCAGTACCCATATAGGTTGCAAATGGGATATGAATGCAGAATGAGGCAGACACAATTCCTAACCCAAATCCCTCTTTTGCTTCCTTCTTCAGGAATCCTAATATGTATGTACTGCCTGGGTTCCCTTGGCTTATTTAAGCCATAGTGAGTCATGGAGCCCACAGGTGATGCCCTGAAGATTTATGCAATGGCTTTGGCTGGTTGTGTCATCCGAACCTTGCGAGGGATGGGTTGCAGGAGGGCTGAACAACCCTTGCAGAACCCATGGCCTGTTTTACAGTTATGTGGCCATACTCTGGCAGCAGTCAAAGGGCTTTTTTACATGAGGCATTTGTGGTATCTTGTGGTTCCTCACTCATAATAGTTTGTGGGGGCTTTGCATGACGTTGTCATCCTCCAGGGCCTTTTGAAGGTACAACATTCTTTGATCTATTTCTCTTTTTGAATTCAAGGTGGTCTTCTGCTAAGATAAAATCAGGATTCAATATGATCTTGACAGGCTAAAACACTGGGCCAAAATTAACATGAAGAAACTTACTTTCTTACTTATTAATTATACCACCCAGTAGCCAAGGCTCTCTGCATGGTTCTCTGTCAAATTCACCAATAATAAATGTAAAATTCTGTATTTAAGTAAAAAATAAAAATCAAAGATAAGTATATAGGGGTAGGAAGACCTTATTGGCAGCAGTGTTTGTGAAAGGATATAGGTGTCTTAACTGATCACAAACTGACTCTTATCACCAGCATAACCCTAAGGATCCAGGGAGAATCCCGATCTCTGGGAATAGACAGGATGGTGATGGTGATGATGGTCAGAGTATGTCCAGAGCTGTGAATCCTGCTCCCCTGTGGGGAGGGGATATAGGTCTGTCGGTGGCACATGCCTTACAAAAGGCTTCATGTCCTGTTAAAAGATATTCAGAAAAAAAATGTTGTCTGTCTGAAAGATTACAGGTCCTTAGATTGTTTTTCTCTGATGGATGAAGTGGTATGAGACAAATATCCTGACCTGGAATTAGCTTGCTATTTTCTTTCCATATTTGTTGCTTTCCTGCCCCACACTTCATTGCTCCAAAGTATGCAGGGTAAGGCATATGATTCTCATATTGCATGCCTAGCAATACTGTGGAGGAGGCTAGGCTGGGAGGGTTACCTGGTACATTTGAGTAAGGATTTGAACCTGGCTCTTCCCACTCCTCTGGCTCAGCCCTCGCATGCAGCCTTCTCCAACCTGGTGCCTTCCAGGAGCCTTGGACCCCCAGTCAACCATGCAACATTTGCTCACTCCAAGATGCCCAAATGCCGCCTCAAGAAAAGCTGCATTCTGAAACCTCTGTCCCATGGGCGCGCAACTCGTGGCCAACAGGTGCATTGACCTGCAGTTCCCATCAGCACTAGCCAACACAGGAAATGGCGAGGGAGCCCCTGGTTCCCCACTCCTGCCGCATGTACCTCTTACGGGGTGGTGGTGATGGTGGAGAACATTGTGCCATGCCTCCCAGAGACTTATGCCTCTTGAAGAAGTCTGCTGTGCACTTTGAGGCTTTGCCTTCATATGCAATCTTTCTCTTGAAAACAGCCTGGAGCAGCCCTCCCAGTTCAGTCAAAGTAAGTGTAAAACTCAGTGCACTTGAATGATGCTCCACTTGCAAGCTGACTTAGTTTCCGCAGACACTGGTACTTGAGCACCACAGCAAAGGCTTTTGCCGTAATAAGCCCGTGTGCACAGATTCAGCAGCTCATTATGCACTCTAAAGAACGAGCCAGGAATGACAGGCAAACGGCCGAACTGTCGCCAGCATCCCTCCAAGCTGTGACTGGTGTGACCCTCCTTGTGTTGGCTGAGGAGCCTGTGAAAAAAAGCCAGTGTGCCCAGGCAGGGCCCTGCAGTAAGAACACAGTACGGGCAGCATGTCACAGCCCCGCAGCCCCCTGGGCACTGGGAAGAGAGGGGAAGGAGCCATGATGTTAGTCAGGAAGGATTATAGTTAAGGGAACCTTAACTATGGTTAAGTTAAAGCCGTCCCCCGAAGCCTGCAGCGCTGCTACATTTCAGGGAGCGATGGCTTTTCCACACCAGTGTCGCTGCTTAGAAGATTTTAAAGCCATGCAAAAGGGATCCTCTCTCTGTGTGTGCATAGTTTTTTAAATGGGCGTACAAGTAAAAGGGCTGTCTGCTGCCAGGCTTACCATCTTTTCCTCCCAGGGAGCTGCCGCCCAAGTTCCTAGGGCAGATGTTGTTGCCTCCCTTTTCTGAGTAATGGGGACTCCTGTTGCCTTTATTTGTGTGCAAGGATGAAAGGGGAAGCAGGAGGATTTGGGAGCAACTTTGCCACAGTGACAAGCTGTTCCAGTTTTAGAGAGCTTCAGCCTGCTCCGAAAGGTCAGCAGATCTAAACGGGGGGTTCCCACAGCTGG